ACCTTGTCTTCTCCGGACAAGGTGTTTTCCGGATGCCCCAAAAAATCGGAAAGGGGATTCACCAGAGAAAATGACTTTACCCCAGTCCTCAGCAGTCCAATCCCTGTACCTTTTGCAGAATATCAGTCTGTCCCTGATGTTTTTCCTGGAGAGAAGTGGCTTCTTTGCTGCCCTTCTTGACACCAGGCAATCCTCCAAAAGTCTTCACCTCACTGTGCGTGCAGATGCACTCACCTGCCTGCTGCCATTCCTGAGCAAGCTCTGCACTGGTGGTGCCCCGATCCCGCAGCTGAATCAACTTTAGGAGACGGTCCTGGCGCTTGCTGAACTTTCTTGGGCGCCCTGACGCCTTCTTCACAACAATTGAACCTCTCTCCTTGAAGTTCTTGATGATCCGATAAATGGTTGATTTAGGTGCAATCTTACTAGCAGCAATATCCTTGCCTGTGAAGCCCTTTTTGTGCAAAGCAATGATGACGGCACGTGTTTCCTTGCAGGTAACCATGGTTAACAGAGGAAGAACAATGATTTCAAGCACCACCCTCCTTTTAAAGCTTCCAGTCTGTTATTCTAACTCAATCAGCATGACAGAGTGATCTCCAGCCTTGTCCTCGTCAACACTCTCACCTGTGTTAACGTGAGAATCACTGACATGAATTGACCACGACTGTACAAACAATACCCCATAATGACAAAGCAAAAACAGGTTTTTAGAAATGTTTGCACATTTATTACAAATAAAAAACAGAAATAGCTTATTTACATAAGTATTCATACCCTTTGCTATGAGACTCGAAATTGAGTCCATGTAATGCCTTGTAGGTTAGCAGTACAACCTTGAAATCAGCCATAGCCTTAACAGGAAGCCAGGCTAGCACTGGAGTAATATGATATATTGTTTTGGGTTCTAGTCAAGATTCTAGCAGCCGTATTTAGCACTAACTTAAATTTATTTAGTGCTTTATCCAGGTAGCCGGAGAGTAGAGCATTGCAGTAGTCTAATCTAGAAGTGACAAAAGCATGGATGAGCTTTTCTGCATAATTTTTGGACAAAAATATTCAGATTTTTGCAATGTTATCAAGATGAAAAAAAGCTGCCCTTCAAATATTCTTGATATGTTCGTCAAAAGAGAGATCAGGGTCCAGAGTAAAGCTGAGGTCCTTCACAGTTTTATTTGAGACGACTTTACAACCATCAAGATTAATTTCAGATCAAACAGCAGATCTCTTTGTTTCTTGGGACCTAGAACTAGCATCTCTGTTTTGTCCGAGTTTAAAAGTAAAACATTTGCCGCCATCCACTTCCTTATGTCTGAAACACAGGCTTCCAGGGTAGGCAATTTTGGGGCTCCACCATGTTTCATCGAAATACACCAGCTTCAAATAACTGAAAATACAATATTTTGGGTTATGGAAAAGATACAGCACAGCGGTTTAGATGGTACAATGATTTTCTACACAATGACTGCTTGTTTCGTTACATAATCTGAAATTAGGCGAACTATTCGAATTTCAGCAACCAAGAAATGGCACAGCGATTTCTGCATATTGCACATTTAAGCGTTGTTGTGGACTTAGAACATCCAATTTTGTTGTTTTTCTTTTTTTTAAGTGTGACTTAGAGAGTGAAAACCTGAAAGAAATGGAACAAATCAGAAACCTGTGAATTTCTGACTCAGTTGACAGAATCATCTATTTCAATAGTAGGCCTACTATAAGCCTACTTGTACAGTACAGCTTGTACAGTACAGAAAGTGTTTGAGGTGCTGAGTAATATTTAGGTGGAATGGTGGTGTCTAGGGTGACCACATTTAAAATACCCAAATGCGGGACAAAGGGAGGATTTTGCGGGACATTCGCTGGACAGTGTATACATTTGTTTGGTTGCAGGACAAAGGGACAAAATACGGGACATGTGGTCACCCTCAGATATTTCCCTCTATGGTAGATGCTAGTTGTCTGGGGTCTGATAATGGAGAGTGTCTGGTGCTCAGGAGAGATACAGTATAAACTACAGACCTCCGGTAACCAGGCTCATTGCTGTGCAGTGAGATAATGGAAATGTGGCAGCAAGTATTGAAACCTGCCTCTATGTTCTTGTGAGTCATTGATGAACCAGCTCCTCTCAGTGCTCTGATGTTGCTCTGGGCACTCTTTCTAATACCCTTCACAGAGGTAGTTAGTCCTGTAGCTCAGTTGGTAGAGCATGGCGCTTGCAATGCCAGGGTTGTGGGTTCGTTTCCCACGGGGGGCCAGTATGAAAATGTATGCACTCATTAACTGTAAGTCGCTCTGGATAAGAGTGTCTGCTAAATGACTAAAATGTAGTTGTCTCAGGGCTAATATATTCATCATAACCACAAGTTTTGTACATCACATGATGCGTAAAGCTAAACATTCTTGTCTGCATGAAGTTTGAGCACTATATTGACTAAATTGGCAGACAGACTGATAACAAACATGGCATTTGATCCATTAAAAACAACAACAAATTATATTTCCCCTAAAGGACCTAAACTGTTAAAAATGTTACTTGGCAAATACTACATGGGAACTTGAAGATACTGACATCAGAATGTTAACACATAAAGTGGATTAGCCACACACATAGTGACCATCAAATTGGCTGTTTTCCCAGCAAAGGATGTTAAGAGGCGGTCAAGAGAGGGAGAATGAAAAGGGAGGAAACGAGTGCCTCGGATTCAGGATGATAGGAGGAGTGAAATGTATCCTAGTAAGCCTTTTAGTAATCATCCAATAACGAATGTTATTGGATGAAGTGCCAGCAGGACTTGAAACTAATGTGGCTTACAACATACACTACATGACCAAAAGTATGTGGACACCTGCTTGTCGAACATCTCATTCCAAAATTATGGGCATTAATATGGAGTTGGTCCCCCCTTTGCTGCTTTAACAGCCTCTACTCTTCTGGGAAGGCTTTCCACTAGATGTTGGAACATTGCTGCGGGGACTTGCTTCCATTCAGACACAAGAGCATTAGTGAGGTTGGGCACTGATGTTGGGCGATTAGGCCTGGCTCGGAGTCGGCGTTCCAATTCATCCCAAAGGTGATCAAAGGGGTTGAGGTCAGGGCTCTGTGCAGGGCATTCAAGTTCTTACACACGACCTCTACAAGCCATTTCTGCATGGACCTCGCTTTATGCATAGGGGCATTTTCTAGTTAAAACAGGAAAGGGCCTTCCCAAAACTGTTGCCACATAATTGGAAGCACAGAGCTGTCTAGAATGTCATTGTATGCTGTAGTGTTAAGATTTCCCTTCCCTGGAACTAAGGGGCCTAGCCCAAACCATGAAGAACAGCCCCAGACCATTATTCCTCCTCCACCAAACTTTACAGTTGGCACTATGCATTGGAGCAGGTAGCGTTCTCCTGGCATCCAGATGGTGAAGCATGATTCATCACTCCAGAAAACGTGTTTCCACTGCTCCAGAGTCCAATGGTGGCGAGCTGTACACCACTCCAGCAGACGCTTGGCATTGCGCATGGTGATCTTAGGCTTGAGTGCGGCTGCACGGCCATGGAAACACATTTCATGAAGCTCCCAACGAACAGTTATTGTGCTGAAGTTGCTTCCAGAGGCAGTTTGGAACTCAGTATTGAGTGTTGCAATCGCTTCAGCACTCAGCAGTCCCGTTCTGTAAGCTTGTGTGGCCAACACTTCGCAGCTGAGCCGTTGTTGCTCCTAGATGTTCCCACTTCACAATAACAGCACTTACAGTTGACCAGGGCAGCTCTAGCAGGGCAGAAATGTTACAAACTGACTTGTTGGAAAGGTGGCATCCTATGACAGTGCCACGTTGAAAGTCACTGAGCTCTTCAGTAAGGCCATTCTACTGCCAATGTTTGTCTATGGAGATTGCAAGACTGTGTGCTCGATTTTATACACCTGTCAGCAACGGGTGTGGTTGAAATAGCTGAATCCACTAATTTGAAGGGGTGTCCACATACTTTTTTAAATATAGTGTCAGGTAGGTCCCCAAAAAAAGAAGTTCCCATCAGACTACCGAAATCCACGTCATCCTCCTTGAACTCTCATCCTTCCACTTCTATCCTTTCATCTAACTCAATCTAATCTACAAAGTCCCCTTAGTCCACCTTCATCCCCTCATCGGTTCCCAGTGTCTGACTTGCTGCCAGACACAGCCCCTCTGACCCCCATTCTGTCTGATGAGAACAGCCCCAACCAGAACCACAGGAGCTGCAGCCTCTGTCTGGACAGGAAGCCAGGAGCAGAAAAGGCCTTTTTTTATGGGCCCACCATGGCAATAAAACCCCCCTCTTAACTGTGACACTGACTGTCTCTGCTGTCAGAACAAAGGATCTTATGATTGCATTGAGACTAGTTATTTGATCTTGAATTCTGGTTGTCATTTTAATGATAATTTCAGATTCTGTGGTATTATCAAACAACAAATGTTTGATAATACCATTGTATAATTTCAGTGGCCTCTGTAATTATTGGGACAGTGAATACATTTTTCTTCTTTTGGCGCTGTACTCCAGCACTTGGATTGAAATTATACAATGACAATGGGGTTAAAGTGCCAACTGTCACCTTTAATTTGAGGGTATTTTCATCCGTATCAGGTGAACCGTTTAGAAATTACAGCACTTTTTGTACATAGTCCCTCACATTTTAGGGGACCAAAAGTATTGCGACAAACTCACTTATATGTGTATTAAAGTAGGCAAAAGTTTAGTATTTGGTCCCATATTCCTAGCACACAATGATTACATCAAGCTTGTGACTTTACACATTTGTTAGATGCATTTGCTGTTTGTTTTGGTTGTGTTTCAGATTATTTTGTGTCCAATAGAAATGAATGGTAAATAATGTATTGTGTGATTTGAGTCATTTTTATTGTAAGAATAGAATGTTTCTAAACACTTCTACATTAATGTGGATGCTACCATGATTACGGATAGTCCTGAATGAATCATCAATAATGATAAGTGAGAAAGTTAGACGCAGAAATATCATACCCCCCCCCCCCAACAAAAAGCTAACCTCCCGTTATTGTGATGGTGACAGGTTAGCATATCTTGGGGGTATGATATTCACATAATGGTTTCTAAAATCCCACTTGAGCTGTCTTCCATCAGACTGTGCACTGCTCTGCCTGTTTCAGTGTGAGGATCATTTCATTCAGACCAGGAAAACAGACAGAGGAGAAAGGACAGAAAGAGAAGTTAGTGCAAAGAAAGAATTTAAGGGATTTATTGTGGAGAAGACATGTGCATGAGTAAAATCTTTATTGCATGCACAGAACTATATGTCAAAGGGTTGAGTGAAACAAGTGCTGAGAGAGTGGTCCTTTCCAAATGCCACAACATGCACCGGAGAGGGGGACCTCAGATTGACCCCTAATACCAGCCACAGAGGCACCACTACACTTACACAACATTTACACCAGCGAGAGCTGCAGTTTACCCCACTGCCTCCAGACACCGCCACAGTTCAAATCTACACCCAGAAGAGCAGAAGCTAAAAGTATGATCAGAAGCACTTCCTTCACATTTAGTGACCTGATGCTTAATACGAGCAGTTGGCTTGGCGGAAAAATTCAGATTTCTTTTGTCTTTCTTTTGCAACAGTAACAGCTATAGTTTGACTAAATCATTCTATAATAGTATAGTCTGAAACTGGAATGCACAACAGGAGAGAAGACACAAAAAACGAAAATGTAAAAGTGGTGCATGAACCATACACACCATTTAAATTTGGCAGCACAAAAATCAAGGGAATATGGCAATACTGATGGTTACATACAACTGTTGAGTATGGCAGTAAGTAAAAACTTCACAGAATGTTCTAGACCACAATTTAAAACAATAACAAAAACGGTAAGACTTTTCCATCAACAGAAAAATTGCAGATATTTAAATGCGTTTCATACCCAGTAAAAAGTGGACTATGAATTGCAACAGTTTTTTCTCTAAGTGTTTTAGAGGAAAGTGAGAGGGTAGGCATGATGAGAAAAAAAAAAGTTCATCTTGGAATGCGTGCTTGGGATCGTCGCTGGGAAGATGCCATGCGGAATGATGAAGCCGAATTCTACAATTTTGCCAGTGGCTGGCCCCGCACATTTGATTCTCTCCCAACCAATGAATGGTCCTGAGCGGGGGCCGAGTCTTAGATGGCAACCTTGGAGATCTGGTCCTCCAGTTTGGCAATTCGGCGGTCCTGTAGGGTGACGAGGTCCCTGAGCGACTTGACCTCTCGCAGTAGCTCCTCCAGTTTCCCTTCATTTTGCTGCAATTAAGCAGAGAAAGAACTACAAGTTAAATAATGACAAGAGACATTCTGTCACAAACCATTTGGTGGCTAAAATGACAACAAAAAATTTATCAGGATTCTTCTGATATCGAACTTTGAGATCCAAATCTAGTCACTGTGTTCCAGCAGCTGATTTCTTTAGTTTATCTTAATACATCTTGACTGTTGCCAGTGTTACAGTACAGTTTTATTCAATATGTTGTTGTTGTTACAGTTGTTACGGTAACTGTCCAGTCCTACTCACTGTAGAGGGTTGTGGAGAGGCCTTGCTCTGGGCAGGTGAGGTGTTCTCTGCTTTCTTGGCTGGTTTGCCCTCCAGGACGTTGGACTTCTTGACCACCTTGAGGTCACGGTTCTTTCCGGGGACATAGCCGTTTTTCAGGGAGATCAGGATAGGCTCACCGTTCTTCCCATCAAACCAGTCTTCCGCCTCGATGGTACAGTCTGGTCCCGCTGTGTCCGGGTACAGGTCATCCTGGAACAGGTCCGACTGCACATGTGTGTGTGTGTGGGATGGAGAGAGAGAGACATAATGGTATCAGTTAGGATTGTACTCTAGTCAGTCGTGGATTGTAATCCATTCTTAATATTGCCCGATCAGAACTACAATTACACTCTTTTTTACAGCATCAATGTCTTCAATGTTAAAAATAATTATTCAAGAAAGAGACAAACCTTTCGGGGGACTGTCATGATGATCGGCTCACACTTTCTCTCATGCAGTTTATAAAACCTGCAAGGGAAATAGATCAAATATTATGAGGATGTACAGCCGCAGAATCAAAGGCATTATGATTGTTCTCTCAAATACTGCAACATGTCCTCCCTCTAGTGGACAAAAGGAGAAGGTCTCAAAGACATCAAACACTTTCTAAGTGTATGGTTGTTACCTGGCAATCTCACACTTGTTGACATCCAGTCCTCGTTTGGGCATGTACCCCATACCCCTCTGGGGCTCCTTGCTGGAGAAGGTGTTGAGGTAGTGCACGAATGGAGCCTCGTCCGTGATCTCAAAGTACCGGATGCTACTGTCACCCTGAACAGAGAGGAGAGGTTACTGAGAAAACCTGTGCGAGACTCTGCAGCTTCACTTTAAGTGTCAGGTTAATAGAAAACGACAAATCCTCCCAGAAAGACGGACGCCACACCAATCCGCCATCCAGATGGGAGACTATTGGTGTTATTGGGTTTGGAGGGATAAGATACGGACTTAGGAAATACATGACATCTCTAACAAGCATATCATCCTCACCTTCCCACACAGGTACACTACGTTGGTGTCTGCATCGTAGAAGGGCAGCAACACTCCATTACTGGTGTCCAGCTCGTGGACTGATATTGGTTCCTCCATGCTTTTCTGTCAACACAAGAAATACATTTAATGTGCTTAGATATACATGTGGCTAGATAAGGATATGTGCATCTATGAGTGCATGAACGTCTGTGTGTGTGTGTGTGTGTGTGTGTGTGTGTGTGTGTGTCTGGTTGGGAGGTGACGTACGGGGTTCCAGAGGGCTAGCTGCCGTTCACTCATACGGCTGAAGCCGGTGGTGAAGATGTTTCCGTCAGCCAGGAAGATGGCTCTCATGGGCCGTGCTCCATCGTGGGCCTTGTCCTTCTCCTGAAACACACAACCCGTCTGTCAGAGAGGATCGCATGTTTCAGCAGCAATAACGTGTCTTGGTAGGAGGGAGTGTATGTGTTTGTGAATGAGTGTGTGAACGAGCGAGAGTGCATATCAAGCCAACCCCCCAGAGTCCCCAGCCAACTCACCGCCACAATCTTCTCCTTGCGGGGGTCGATTACGCGGATCTTTTTGTCCTTGCAGGCGGTGCAGATGAGGGCTCCGTTGCGGCTCCAGCAGGCGCTGAAGATGACGTCAGGGTGCATGTCCTCCAGCTGGATCATGGCCTCGCCCGTGCCCACGTTCCAGATGATGATCAGGTTGTCACAGCCTGGAAGGACAGACACAAACAAACTACAGTCAGAATCCACATGCCTCTGTCTCTCATAGCAGAGTGCGGACCCACAGTAAGGTGGAAAATATATAAGATTCCTTATATTCTCAGCGCTGATGTGACAAATGTACCCCATGCTGAAAGTGCCATACTCCTTGTGTGAGAGCAGAGTATCAAAGCTGTCTCTACCTGCACTCATGAGGACATTCCGGGCAGTGGGGTGCCAGGTGACGATGCCCACCCTCTTGGAGTGTCCCTCCAACACCACCACAGGCTCAGCCAGCGGGGTGACCAGCCCATTCTCTGGGATCTGCCACACCTGAAGACACAGAGATTACGTTAGTCATGATGCCATTAGCGGCTACTTGTCTTTAGCAATTTTCTCATTTTTAACTATGGAGACGAACGGACTAAAAGATACACCTTCAAATTAGTGGATTCAGCTATTTCAGCCACACCCGTTGCTGACAGGTGTATAAAATCGAGCACACAGCCATCCAATCTCTATAAACAAACATTGGCAGAATGGCCCGTACTGAAGAGCTCAGTGACTTTCAACGTGGCATCGTCATAGGATGCCACTTTTCCAACAAGTCAATTCGTCAAATTTCTGCCCTGCTAGAGCTGCCCCGATCAACTGAAGTGCGTAGCGCATACAAATTGTCTGTCCTCAGTTGCAACACTCACTACAGAGTTCTGAACTGCCTCTGGAAGCAACGTCAGCACAATAACTGTTCGTTGGGAGCTTCATGAAATGGGTTTCCATGGCCGAGCAGCCGCATACAAGCCTAAGATCACCATGTGCAATACCAAGCGTCAGCTGGAGTGGTGTAAAGCTCGCCGCCATTGTACTCTGGAGCAGTCGAAATTCATTCTCTGGAGTGATTAATCATACTTCATCTGGCAGTCCGACGGACAAATCTGGGTTTGGCAGATGCCAGGAGAACGCTAGCTGCCCGAATGCATAGTGCCAACTGTAAAGTTTGGTGGAGGAGGAATAATGGTCTGGGGCTGTTTTTCATGGTTCGGGCTAGGCCCCTTAGTTCCAATGAAGGAAAATCTTAACGCTACAGCATACAATGACATTCTAGACGATTCTGTGCTTCCAACTTTATGGCAACAAATGCCCCCGTGCACAAAGCAAGGTCCATACAGAAATGGTTTGTTGAGATCGGTGTGGATGAATTTGGGGTTTGAGAAGTCAATGAGAGAAGTGAAAAAGTATTCCTTATGCTGTTAATTTTCTCTATTTCTAAAGGCACAACCTTGATTCAAACCAATGTTTTAAGTAGCTGAACATTAATACAACCTCGTGAAAGTGTCACTAACATTTTTGTCAATAACAACTTTATATCGAAGGAGTGCCTTTGATTTGACGGCCTGCATATGCGCAGTTCGGCCATGACATCGTGATCAGTGATTTTTCCTCCCAAATTTCGAGTCATGCGTCCTCCGAAACATGACCCGCCAAACGGCGCTTCTTAACACCCGCCCGCTTAACCCGGAAGCCAGCCGCACCAATGTGTCGGAGGAAACACTGTTCACCTGACGACCGAGGTCAGCCTGCAGGTGCCCGGCCCTCCACAAGGAGTCACTAGAGCGCGATGAGCCAAGTAAAGCCCCCCAGGCCAAACCCTCCCCTAACCCGGACGACGCTGGTCCAATTGTGCAACGCACTATGGGACTCCCGATCATAGCCGGTTGTGATACAGCCTGGGATCGAACCCGGGTCTGTAGTGACGCCTCTAGCACTGCGATGCAGTGCCTTAGACCGCTGTGCCACTCGGGAGGCCCCGATCAGGGATTTCTATTTGATAAGCAGTTTCTAGGCATCTTCATACAATCTTTGATGTGCTTGTCTAAAGTTACCAGGATGTGCTAACAGTGTTTAGTCTAAAGGTGGCAGCAGAGAGCTGATGGGGAGAAAACACCCTTTGTGCAGAAACAAGGAAGGGCGAGGAATAAGGTCTGCATTACACTTCATGTTTCAGAGAGCAGACCGTTCTACAATGTTTTCGTATTCCATCTTTTAGGTCTATCATATCATATAAAATACATTCAATTAGATAAAATATTGTATGGACCACTCAGTGGACTTATCAGTCTCTCACTACATGCATTATTTATTAGTCTGAGACCAAATAAGGACACACTGACAGGATGACCTCACCGCCCCACCATTTACATATGGCTGTGGTTCTGATTACGCTATGACACAAGCTTTGTGTATAGAGCACACCATGGGGGCTAATGTTGCAGCACTGACAGCCACAGACAGGGTTATTGATCCCATGTGAATCTCAGACTTTCTCAGAAATGTCACCGAGTTCATTGCAAAATAATTTATAGGGGTTGAAGAGCTTGAGACACACCATTTTGACGATGTAAGCAGTGAAAACTAGCTGTACGTACCATGACTGTGCAGTCCTCCGAGCCGCTGGCGATGACGTGGTCATTGTGAGGGCACCAGTCAATGTCCAGGACAGGACCTGTATGACCACATACTGTTGGGTAGGCCTTGTCTATGCGACCTGTCTGGAGAGAGAAAGAGGAGGTTCAGTATGATTGCTGGAGTTCAGTAACAAAGACGGGAGAAACTGAACTGAGCCCCCAATCCTACTGGCAAAGACCAAGGGTTGACTTGTGAAGGAGAAGAAAATACAGCCTTAGGGTACTGTCTTTGTGAGACAGACAATTTATTGTTGTTATGTCTCACATTTCTAAACTATTACTTCCTTTCAACACCATTCATCATCTTTACTATCATCAAATACCCAAGGCAGGATTATATGTGGTCATTTGCAAACTCCACAGGCTAACATTCCTAAAAAAGACCATTCATCCAATCAGATGGCCTCTAGATGACATCAGCAACCTGGGGGTCAGCGTGTGACCTCTGCTGTCCACTGGATCAATGAGTGATGAGGACCCACTTTCTCTCTGCTCCTCTGTCTTTGGGTTAATCCAGGCTGACACTGACTCTGTGCATGGCAGGACTGAGGCCTCTGAATGACGTCATGAAAGGGCTTTGTGAGAAACTGGTTCTCCTATTTACAACTAGCCTAGTCCCTGACCTCAGCATTTTTTAATACCACACTGATAAAGAAATGTGTTCTCCCCCCCACCAAGAGTCATCGCTATGGCAAGATATAGGGATAGAGATAGCCTATACATTACTGCATGAATAAATAAGGTATGCATTCTCGTTAATGATTCATTAAGTCTGCAGCTATGTTGATCTTTTTTCAGTGTTTCTCTCGATCAGCCATTAATCCTAGATATAAATATCAGGCTCTCAAAACTCCTAGTTATGAGATGCTGGAAGTGAGAAGCAATCTAATCACCGGTCTGACCCCCTGGGGCCTAACCGGCACTCCCCCTCTGCCATTACTGCTGTTGTCACGGTAACAACCAGGAGGAGCAGGAACAACAGCCAGTAATTTCATATTCACAACATAGCCTATCATACAGATCAAGGGAGGGAGAGATAGTTTGTATTTGTTGACTGAGTATCTTCACTAATTAGACTCCCCATACACAGGCCTCTCCCTCAGGGGGAATGCATGTCAGTTCTAGAACAAGACATCGGTAACAGTCACGTTTCCAGTACGGCTGGGAAATTCCAGGGACATCACGATATGATATGTATTGCGATTCTATATGTATTGCGATTCAATACTGCAATTTTATTGCGATTTGATGTTCCAAAGATTTTGCTCACCATGTCTGCTGCAGAGGGACAAGAGAGAGCCACGGGTAAAATGAGTTTTGACCACATGGACATACAATTGCTGAAAACATGTTGGCTCACCATTTAAAAAGATGGATAACAAGCTAGAGAAGAAATACCAGAGTTTTGGCGCAGGTACGGCCGACTAGGGCTAGCTAACGTTAGTGTTTTTTAGAGAATTGATACTACTCTAGCAATAGAATCGATATATCGTCCAAAATAACATCGCAATACTTTCCTGTATACATTTTTTCCCCCCAATCACTCATTTCCAGTGAAGGCTGACATCTGACCATTATATAGGCTACTGCTACATGACTGGACAGACTGACTGGAGGTAAGTGACTACAACAGATGTTACAGCAGATGTTTGAAAACACACACACATTAAAAGGGAAATGAAAATATAAAGAGAGCCATGGAGTTACATACTCACTCAAACAATCATCTCTGTTCCATGGATTATACAGTCTAATTGTTGTGAATAATGGTGTTTCGCCATTTTCATGTTTGGAGACATGCGTTGCTGAACTCGTGAATCTGAATCTAAGTAGAAAAACAGCTTAATTGGCTTAATTGCCAGAATCTCGCAGTTTCCCTTTAAGCAGTGTAGCAGTTACCAGTCTCTTTGAGGGGGATTAAGGAAATATATGATATAATGTAAACTACTTAACCAAGTGGCCTAGAATCATTGCATCCCATCCAGTACCCTAGGGTCAGTGAGGCAAGTGTAACAAGAGGGCGTGGATGCATGTAATTCAAATGCCCTTACAACAATCACACTGATTAAAATACATGTGATTGATTGCTTGTCTATGGTGTTTGTTACTGTAAGTGGCTGGCACGGTTTCCAAATGCTAAGGTTTTAGCATTTGTGGCACAAAACCCATTCAAGTCATGGGACTGATACTAGCATTTTTCGCCAATCATGTTCAAATAATCTATAAGGCTGCGTTACACAGGTAGCTGAAAAAGATCTGATGTGAAAAGATCTGATGTGATTGGTCAAAAGACTAATTAGTGTGGGAAAAGATCAGAATTGGGCTGCTTGTGTAAATGCAGCCCAAGTGACTTTTGTGAGCTTCACAATACATTTTAGATACTTTCGGATTTTTTGGACATGATGCACGAAAAATGCTAATATCGGTCCCATGACTTGAATGGGATTTGTGCCACAAATGCTAAAACCAGGGGTAAAATAAATCCCATGACTGAAACTTAAGTCGATCTCAGATCGATTGTCTGGGGGCAAGTTAACCTCTCCTTTTATGTAAGAAAGTTATGACCATCATGCTTTTAGGGAAAGAGGATAATTTTGTACATGTATTAAACTGTGAGTTTACCAATTCCAGTCCCTTGCTTAGTGGGTCCGGGGTCCTCCCTGGGATAATTTTTATGTAGGACTGAGAAGCTCAGTTCTGGGGACTTTTTAAAAGGACATTCTACTCCCAAATTAATTAAAATAAAATGATGCTGACGCCTGACACCATCTAAAATATAATTTCCACCTCCAGAAATGAGCCCAATAACATAAATCGGTAAAAATTGTTAAAATTATATTAACACATTGGACCAGATCTGACATAGAACACACAACAACAAGCCAACTAGGTAAATAGGTAAACTATTCTACTATGGGGTTGTCTGACTTTGTTTTAATAACAACATTACATGGCAAAAATAGTAGCACTGGAAAGTTCCATCCTGAGTGATAAAGTATAGGCTTTGAATTGCTTTGCCAGCAGCTACAGTAGGCTACACACTGCTGTTTGAGTTGAGCGCTGCTGTGGAGCTCATTATAGACTATTTAATTCCCTTCTTCTGAACATTGGAATGTCATCAACAATCATGCATGTCAGTTCAGCGCACACAGCGTAACAGAGAAAATAAAATATGAAAATACATACGTCATCTTCAAAACAGCCCCCCCCCACCTGGAGATGTTTTATTGCAGATCTACACTGATCTCAAAAACGACCTCTCCAGAATCCATATGACTGGAATCTGTCGCAGTGACGGAGAAATGTAACCCCTGGCTAAAACATTAACCAAAACATGGATTGCTGTCATACCTTGTCCATATACTGCTTAGAGTGTAAGGAAACTAATATGTAATTTTGGTGAACTATCCCTTTAAACTCAAACATGTTTTCCTTAAAGAAATATATGCAAAAGCTGCAAATTGATAAATGATTACAACGTCAATGGCACTCAACAATATAAGTGATTCTACTTAATACATTTAAATGTAGAGTTCACCCCAACATTTTTAACTCCCCTATCCCAGAATCCACTAGGCGACACACATTTCCCTCAGCCAATCGGGAGACAGACGGGAAATGGTCCTGTAGGCAGCCTGACATGCAAAATGCTGGACTGCCATATATGGTCAAATCTGCTGACAGCAGCAGCAAGCTCTTGGGTACTGAATAGAGGAAGGGGGAGAGAGAAGAGTGGATATACACAGACAATCTCTGTTGGCTGTTCACACATCTCCCCTATACACATGCACACACACCTACAACACCGGCTCTCTAGTCAGACTGATCAATCCCGAGCATGGGGAGCTTCTTTCAAATTCACTTTTCTTTCACCAAATTTAAACCACCTAGAAATGTGACCTAAAATCCATTCAGCGTAAAGCACTGTTGTCCAGAAGTTGTTGGTCTTTCATAGGGTCAGAAAACCTGAAAGAGGTGGGAAAGCCCTTTTGCAGTGAGATACTACAGTGCACCCTCACATTCTGCATACAAATAATGAAGATCATGAATTTTGTTGAGCCAACAAAATTCTATTGGCAAGTATGAAAAAAATAAAATCAATGTATGTACTCACTAACTGTAAGTCACTCTGGATAAGAGCATCTGCTAAATGACTAAAATGTAAATATACATATCCAGCAGAGTAAAATCTCATTGTAATCTCATTTAGTTGAAGTCATGGGAATGAGCCATTTCAAGAAAGACCTCTGCAAATACTGTCAGTAATCAAATCCTTAGGAAATAACAAATAATCAAATCGTACTGAAACAGAATGGAGCGACTGAATGTAACTAATACTGAGATCTAGGCCAACAGTGACAGGAAGTGTTCCAAGCCTGAAGAGACAGGAGGAGCCATAACGCTGCCTGGTTGGCTGACAGTGACACACTCACCTTTAGCAGAGGGAGGACGAGGAAGGCTCCGCCCCCACTGGCTTCGATGATGATGGCGACAAATTTGGGGTTGACGGCACAGAAGGAGCTGTCCCATGTGACCCGGGAGACACGGATGTCGTCATAGCACTGGTCGTTCTTCACCGCCTGGCCAAAGACATGACGGAACTTACTCGCTCGCACCACTCGCCTGAACATATCTGCCATCAGGAGGAGAGACAGGGAGAGAGATATGTCAGACAGATGCTATGACAGGGTAACTAATCTCTCATGGACAGACGCACGTTCCATAAATGGTAGCACAGTGTTTGTCAACAGACTGTAGGATGCGACGACTAACAAGGAACTTTGTTCCGGTGCCCTGATTGTCACTGATATCATCTTTCAAATTTCAGAAGAGGAGGGGACATTTGGCCCATAGACATGCCCGAAGTTTCTGTTTAGGGGGGTGGAGACTTTGCTAGTCTCGTTAGTATCTTGCCTCATACATCTTCCCTCAGGACTTAATCAAGATACTTTAGTATATATAGTGTATGTGGACGCCCCTGCAAATTAGTGAATTTGGCTATTTCAGCCACACCTATTGCTGACAAGTGTATAGAAATCTCCATAGACAAACATTGGCAGTAGGATGGCCTTACTGAAGAGCTCAGTGACTTTCAACGTGACACCGTTATAGGATGCCACATTTCCAACAAGTGAATTCGTCAAATTTCTGCCCTGCTAGAGCTGCCCCGGTTAACTGTAAGTGCTGTTATTGTGAAGTGGAAACGTCTAGGAGCAACTATGGCTCAGCCACTAAGTGGTAGGCCACACAAGCTCACAGAATGGGACCGCTAAATAATCTGTCCTCGGTTGCAACACTCACTACCGAGTTCCAAACTGCCTCTGGAAGCAACGTCAGCACAATAACTGTTTGTCGGGAGCTTCATGAAACAGGTTTCCATGGCCGAGCAGCCGCACACAAGCCTAAGATCACCATGTCCAATGTCAAGCGTTGGCTGGAGTGGTGTAAAGCTCGCCGCCATTGGACTCTGGAGCAGTGGAAATGCGTTCTCTGGAATGATTACCATCTGGCAGTCTGACGGACGAATCTGGGTTTGGCTTATGCCAGGAGAACGCTACCTCCCCAAATGCATAGTGCCAACTGTAAAGTTTGGTGGAGGAGGTCTGGGGCTGTTTTTCATGGTTCGGGCTAGGCCCCTTTGTTCCAGTGAAGGGAAATCGCTACAGCATGCAATGACATTCTAGACAATTCTGTGCTTCCAACTTCGTGGCAACAGTTTGGGAAAGGCCCTTTCCTGTTTCAGCATGACAATGCCCCCATGCACAAAGCGAGGTACATACAGAAATGGTTTGTCGAGATCGGTGTGGAAGAACTTGACTAGCCTGCACAGAGCCCTGACCTCAACCCCATCGAACACCTTTGGGATGAATTGGAATGCCGACTGCGAGCCAGTCCTAATCGCCCAACATCACTAATGGTTTTGTGGCTGAATGGAAGCAAGTCCCTGCAGCAATGTTCCAACATCTAGTGGAAAGCCTTCCCAGAAGAGTTTAGGTTGTTATAGCAGCAAAGGGGGGACCAACTCCATATTAATGCCCATTATTTTGGAATGAAATGTTCGACGAGCAGGTGACCACATGCTTTTGGTCATGTAGGGTATATACAAATATCAAACTTCACATTCTCGTTAGACACACTCTTATGAGTGTACACCACACTAAAAACAAATACTGGTGTGGTGTACTACCCAAACTAAGGCTCAGTTGATGTGAAGCCACAGCTCCAAAGCTTTATAGGACATTCCCATTGACTCTGACAGTCAGATTTATCCCCATCTCTGCCTCAAAACGGTAGAACACAGTTGATCTAAGCTGGATCAAGCCTAATGGCAGAGCTGGCATCCAGTCAGAAGAGGCAGACTTTTACATGTATACTTTTCTGTGCATCTGATCACACGAGGTGCTGGCTGAGTTTGTGTGTATGAACTATGAACTTTAGCATTAGCCTAATAGGTATTTTGACAAAACTTTGCATCTCATCCACCGCCCTTCTTTTTAGCCTACTTTAGGCAGCCTTTATTCACATTGCCCAATGCTCACTTTGGAAAGATGAATGTAGGTGTAAGCTGGCCACAAACAAAGTCCCACGAGAGCGCTGTCTAGCTAGCGTATAGATGTTTCCATAACAACAGATGATATATTCCCATCACGCATCACAGGGAGCAGGCTCCCATCAGAAGAGCTTAATCAATTACGGGTTAGCATCAAAGGCTTTCTTGTGTCTCCCATAGCTACCAACAGAATGCAGTAAATAGCCACAGTACAGTACTGTGAAATTAGCCAGGGCTGAGCCAGGACAGGCAGTAATAGAACTGATGCTTATGGGCTACGTTCCACCCAGGCCCCTTAGCTCAGACTCCCTGAGATCGTTCACTTCATCAAGTATGACAAGCATAGTGCCCGAAAACTTTGTACTTGACACCCCCTTGACCTGGTAGATCCTCTTGAGAGGAGATACTGTGTGCAGTTGGCATTTTGCCAACGTGCCACCCATGCAAAAACTCACTATTGTTGGCAATTGGCATTTGGATTCAGTTGATTTTGATCCTACCACCATCCTTCATGTGATGTTTTTTGATGACTGGTGGTTTCCTGCTTAGTTTCCTTAACAGGAAGTGGATGCAGAAGTGTATCTTTCCTTTAGTCTACAGTTGAAGTTTACACACACTTAGGTTGGAGTCATTAAAACTTGTTTTTCAACCACTTCAACAAACTATAGTTTTGGCAAGTCGGTTAGGACATCTACTTTGTGCTTGACACAAGTCATTTTTCCAACAATTGTATACAGACAGATTATTTCACTTATAATCACAATTCCAGTGGGTCAGAAGTTTACATACACTAAGTTGACTGTGCCTTAAAACAGCTTGGAAAATTCCAGAAAATTATGTAATGGCTTTAGAAGCTTCTGATAGGCTAATTGACATCATTTGAGTCAATTGGAGGTGTACCTGTGGATGTATTTCAAGGCCTACCTTCAAACTCAGTGCCTCTTTGCTTGACATCATGGGAAAATCAAAAGAAATCAGACAAGACCTCAGAAAAAGAATTGTAGACCCCCACAAGTCTGGTTCATCCTTGGGAGCAATTTCCAAACGCCTGAAGGTACCACGTTTATCTGTACAAACAATAGTATGCAAGTATAAACACCATGGGACCCCGCAGCCCTCACACTGCAAATCAATCCCAGAACAACAGCAAAGGACCTTGTGAAGATGCTGGAGGAAACAGGTACAAAAATATCTATATCCACAGTAAAACGAGTCCTATATCGACATAACCTGAAAGGCCGCTCAGCAAGGAAGAAGCCACTGCTCCAAAACCGCCATAAAAAAGCCAGACTACGGTTTGCAACTGCACATGGGGACAAAGATCGTACTTTTTGGAGAAATGTCCTCTGGTCTGATGAAACAAAAATAGAACTGTTTGACCATAATGACCATCTTTATGTTTGGAGGAAAAAGGGGGTAGCTTGCAAGCCGAAGAACACCATCCCAACCGTGAAGCATGGGGGTGGCAGCATCATGCTGTGGGGGTGCTTTGCTGCAGGAGGGACTGGTGCACTTCATAAAATAGATGGCATCATGAGGAAGGAAAATTATGTGGATATATTGAAGCAACATCTCAAGACATCAGTCAGGAAGTTAAAGCTTGGTCGCAAATGGGTCTTCCAAATGGACAATGACCCCAAGCATGATGCAAAATGGCTTAAGGACAACAAAGTCAAGGTATTGGAGTGGCCATCACAAAGCCCTGACCTCAATCCTATAGACATGTGTGGGCAGAACTGAAAAAGTGTGTGCGAGCAAGGAGGCCTACAAACCTGACTCAGTTACACCAGCTCTGTCAGGAGGAATGGGCCAAAATTCACCCAACTTATTGTGGGAAGCTTGTGGAAGGCTACCCGAAACATTTGACCCAAGTTAAACAATTTAAAGGCAATGCTACCAAATACTAATTGAGTGTATGTAAACTTCTGACCCACAGGGAATGTGATGAAATAAATCATTCTCTCTACTATTATTCTGACATTTCACATTCTTAAAATAAAGTGGTGATCCTAACTGACCTAAAACAGGGAATTTTTACAAGGATTAAATGTCAGGAATTGTGAAAAACTGAGTTTAAATGTATTTGGCTAAGGTGTATGTAAACTTCTGACTTCAACTGTATCTAGTGGCCACAATATTCATGGCAGACAGTGATAATAGACATGGCTATAAGAATACGGACAGCACAAATGCATGCCATCAGTCATTCCATGCACTTTTACTATTAACCCACGTTGCTACCTTAAACATCTATTCAGAATGTTCACTGATGACTGATGAGCTCGCAATCTCGAATGCAGTGAATAGCCTATCAACTGACCTGACGTAAGCACTGGGTAGAATCTGATAGATTGTTGTTAGGAGCTCTGAGTTCTTGTTTTGAATGGTAGAACAGACAGAAACAACAGTCCTGATCTGAGTAACACAGAAGCCATCCCTGTGGTGAAAAAGATGAATGAGAGTGCGTAAACTACATGCTGAGGGAAGAGATGGCCTTTCAGTTACAGATGTTAATTCTAGGTCATTTTCATTATACAAGGAGCTGGTACATGTATCGCTGGGCTGTCCTCTCTCTCACACGTGTGTGAATGACAGCTAGAGCTACGGTGTTACATTCTTCTTCTGACTGAGCTCAACCAAGCCCGTCTCAGGTCATGGGTTTGCATCTTTTTGAAGAAATGGGGCCAGTGACAGAAACATCTGCATATATAGCAACACTATATTTCATATAAATCATATTAGCCTACACATAGGTTCTCCTTCATTTGTGCTGAATTGACTCTCCTAGTCACACATCAATCTATTTTGGAGCAGGAACAGGCATTAGCACAGCAAGACCATCTCTCCTGGATCAAATATTCTCCTGGGTCGAAGCCTTGGGTACAGGACATAGGCTATGACAACAGCCTGCATCACTACAACCGCATGATGCAGCCAGAGAAGGACATGCAGGGTTTGACAAACATTTAGTTCCATTACTAGTTGCAGCCCTGATGATTCATTCTGTAGAGGCTCTCCTCTCACACACATGAACCATTCAACAAGATGTGCTCCATACCTCACATGCCTAATTTCTCTCAA